GTAATACAAATAAATAGAGCCTTTTGAATTTTCCTGTATCCTTGATTTGATATCTCTTGAAGACGACCCTAGCACATTAAACAACATCATCAATATTGGATTAACAATACTACACTGAAAAACATTCTTAAAAAATTCCACTTTGTCCCTGGCCCTCTGTGATCAGAGCAGTTGCCCGGATTACGAAAGGTCAGAGATTCAGGTCAATAAAATATGGTTAATGCGTATAAAAAATTTATTGTTTTAATACGCACGAACAAAATTTGATTGCCATTTTTCATTTTTTTCTAGGAATCGTATTTTGCGAATGTTCATAATGATTTAATATTTGTTTTATCAAAAATAAACATTTGTTTTTGTTTTATATAATATTCACATTTTCCCAATCATATTACCCTATTTATATAAACTCGTTTTTATTGATAATATGTTAGACGTCATTAATGTAAAAAAAAGGTAATCTATGGGTTTGCAAAAACTTGTGTCAAGACAACCTACATAAATTGACACATTACTGAGATTATTCATCTCTTTCTTACGCATTAACAAGGGTCGTAATGGAAAAAAAGACTAATACTTATCTTCGCTTGCTACGTTAGCGCGGATTCTATGCTTTAATTATTACTCTAAGGGATAAGCTTCGGGAAAGCTGTTTATATTTGGATATAATTATGCATATCATATGCTATATAAATCTGTGTGGCGTACAGACTGGTCCAACGAACGGTAAACAAACGTAATCAAATGGTCTTCTTCTCGAGACAAAGCCAACTTTATTTTTCAGTAATTACATCTTAACGTGCGGTCAAACATATGTGGCACTTTCGAGAACGACATAAATAATGATTAAACTATTTATATCTAATCAATGTCAAGACTCGTAGCGAAATTTATGTACCTAGCTCGATAGAATTGTTTTTATAGTTTATGTCACTGATTATGGCTCATGGCTCAACCGCCTTCGCCTGTTTAGAGTTAAGTTTACTACTACTAAAGAATTCCAAGTAATCTGATACGAAATCATATATTGGAATATTTAAGTGGCGTTTGATTGTATATCCGAATCATTCAAATTATCGGCGGTATCATCCAATATTCCGGTGAAGAACATCCTACGCAATCCCCAAAGACTTATTGTAGATGCATTCACCAAGCAGATTTATCAATAATCAATATATTCATATCTTTAAAAAAAGTCCCCACATACAGAGAGTGAGTGATCTGTGATGCCCGTAATTGACGCTCAAGATATAATACCCGAAAAGAAAAAAAAGAGAATTATATAACTATAAAAAAATAAAATCTAAACATATAAAAAAAATGTACAATTCTCACAACGCAATTCTTTTGCCGTAAAAAGTTATGAAATCAACTTAAACGAAGTCGATTAATTCAGTGCCTATCTTTCTGTGAGAGCAGCAATCCAACCTTGTCATAAATTTAAGAATAATACTTATCTCAAAAGCGACTTATTCAAGAAAATACTATTGAAGTCAGGCGCCTATCATTTAATTAATATCCTACAGAAAACCTCCGCCCGACTAAGTATTATTTACCACTTTTTTTAAGTTAGGAAATCAGTTCTAAGTATTTTTTCTTTGAGTTTTCTCCTAACTACTTTTCTATAATATCCGACCGCGGCAGTTAGAAATTACGTATATAAAACCACAAATGCTTATAGAGAAAATTAATTATTGAAATAAATACCTAAAGTCATTATTTCCATTGAAAATAATCCACAAAGAATTAGCTCATATTAAGGGGACACAAAAACCATAACTCATACAGTCGCCGTCAGCCTAAATCAAGATGAACGCTGGCATCCCAGGTATCTCATTATCATAATAAGTAGAAACGTTTTGAGTTATTAGCAAGCTTCTGTTATCTCTTCTAAATGTGAAATGCATTAATTTGGTTAATATTTAAAACGGAGACTATAAAAGCTAAAGTTGAAAATTTTCTTTAAAATAAGCTTCATATAAGGGACAACGTAAACTAATCGGAGTGTGTAGTATCTGACTGATTTCGACGGAACATTAAAGCTTACATTAAATTTCAGAGAGATGTTCAGGGGAGTGAATTCTATTCGAAATTATTTTAAGTAAGCATACCAAGTCTGTAATCACATGTCGCTAATATAATTGGAGAAGGTGGAATTATTTACAGAATTTTAAATACTCTTTTAATAAGAAATGTCAGAGCACATTTCGGAAACATTAACGGAATTTTGATTTATTGTAACTCATAACAGCTCAAAGCATATTGCCTCGCCGATCCAAATATGTATATAGGTTGTGACGTCATTAGCGCGCACCTGTCACCTCATCCACTGTTACATCAGAGTGCTGGTTTAATTTTCATCAGAAATGTGGTTAGAATTACGAGCCGCCGCTCGATAATATTTGAAAACCAACGCGCCCCGGCGTCGCCAGGTTTTTATTTAGGAAGGGCAATGAACAGAGTATATACAATATACATACTAATATTATTTTTTACGTAGAGGCTAAATAACTAGATCCTGCCCTTAATATTGGAAATATAGCAAAGCAATATACCATAGGTGATCTTGATGATCGATGACTTTAAAAAGCTGTATTGATTGACCTGCAATTCTCGCTCTACCAACACATTAAGAAGTGGTAATTACCTTTTTGAGAATTAAATTAATTAAAATCCAACCCAAACTATACCCAACTGTATTTGCTATCTATATGTTATAATCAAAGACTCACCATTTATGTTTCAATGCACACGTAAAACATATATTGAGTCTCATTTTTGTGTTAGTAATTTTTTATATGCCCGCATCAACTGGGCCCCTTCTGGGCTCATCAAGGGTTAAATATTCTAGTCAAATACCATTCCCGATTTTCGATGACACTGATATCTTGCATCGAATATGAGTATGAGTATATTTGATTTGAACACATCTCTGATCCAAGATGATATCAAACCAAAGCTTGTTGTTGCTTAAAAAAAAAAAAGTTGCATTCATTACTGCCCATTCGATCCACGAAACGAAGGCTGGGTTATCTGTCATAAATTCTGAAAGACAATCTACAGAGCAGGTGATTAATATCCGTAAAATTCCATAGCTTTAGCCGGTAACAAATGATATGTTACCGGGAACCCTTCGGTACACTCGTGGCTTTCAATAGCCAACAATACCACAGACAATACACACCTTTTGATATTATGATTCCAGACGAAAATATTTTAAGCGGTGATTAATAACAGTAGAAACTCAATATAATAAATACAATATATATTAATCCGCCAACTTTGTTGTCTCGTTGTATATTCTATGGTATCTAAGGTAAAGAATATCATATCGTGCAGGTGATAATAGTATATGTATAGATAAAGTAGTAGAAGTCTGAGCAGAGGTGCTATGCTTTAGAGATCTGCATCAAACTAAATGTGAGAATACTGAGTATCAGTATTGGGACGGAACCGGATTTCACCGCACAGGGTATCCTAGGGGCCATGTATAAATTACGTCACACAAAATTCAGGATTTTTAACCCCCCCCCCCTTGTGGGTGACAAAATTCAGGATTTTTAAACCCCCCCCCCTTGTCACCCATTTATCTTTATAAATTCTACTAAATATTGTTCTAATGTCACAGTTCGTTGACCCCCCCCCTCCTAAAGTGTGACGTAATTTATGGATGACCCCCTAGCGTGGAATCCAGGATAACCAAATATGTATTCCAAACTTTTTACAGTACTATTATAAATAGAATGTTCAAATTGTGATAGAGAAAAATTATATAGTTTTAGATTTGGATTTTAGTTTTAGCGTTGTTGCAGCATAGAGGTTCAATCAAATATTTAAAAGGTAAAGTTTTAACTAAATAAGAATTATCAGTACCTTACCCAACGTAAACATATTTTGGCGACTGAAAAAAAAATTGAGCGGAATTGATATTAAAAGTTTAAAATAAATATTATCTCATACATTACTTTACAGTTTAAGGTAATGTATACATTTCTTTTACGTAGATAAGTGATTATTATATATAACAAACTAGATATAAAATAACCTAAGCCTGATAGCATTGGTAATAATTTGTAAAACTATCTTTCAAAATTTATCAAATATTTGATTACGAACTAGTATCTAACTTAGATAATTTTCTGTACGTTCACAAAAACAATCAAGCGATTAAAACAATCTTAAGAGTACTTACATCTTCCGATTTCAATCGGCTTATTTCTTTTTATTAACATATATTTATTTTAAAATATACAATAATAGCATTGAAGATTAACCAGATTAAGCTTACTACAAAAGGTATAATAAAGGTATAATTTCCTTGAACCTCTATGACCTGACAATTCTGCGTTATTCGACGAGTTCGAGGTTGATTTTAACAAAATAGCATATCAGTACAGTGTCTTGAAATTTTAAAGTATTAACATATGTTAATTATATATACTAAATGGCTTACCTGTACATATTAGACGTGAAAGCAGCTTCAAAATATTTGCCAACTTACTAAAGAAATATTTAATGGATAGCCTTTAACTATTTATTGTAACATTTAAATTCAAATTTCATGTTATCATGCAATAAGATGCACATACCTTCAGTATCATAATAACACAATATGAGAACCAGAGCCCACCCACAGTCATACTGTTATTAAAGTTTGTTAATATGCTAACTAAATATAACTACCGCTTTAATAAATACTCGAAATAGTAGTATCCGTGCAAAACTCAACAATAGACGCAACATATATAGTACTACATTAATTCAGAGTAATAATAACTCTTAATACTACATTTTGGAATGCATTAAAATAAATAAATACACTCTATTACACTGGATGAGGGAAGCACAGGACCGATCACATTGGAATGATGATGATAATGATGACTCTATTACCATGTTGATAATATTTTAAAAGCAAAATAATATAGTAAGCCAATAAGGAAAAATATCGTTAGCTGTAATTGACAACGTCTCAGCAAACCTGATGCATTTTTCTCGCCATACATCAACTCGTTAGGAAGGAGTATAGACGTGTGCTATCGTCCTACACACAGTTATTTATTTCAATTAATTATATAGTATCTAGTGATTAAAATGGCTAAAGTTAAAGTGGAACAAGGTTGGTTGGAAGGGGAAATATTGGATGCCCAATTAGGAGATGGTGGTTTAAGAAAATTCTACAGTTTTAAAGGAATACCTTACGCGACTCCGCCGTTAGGCAAGCTTAGATTTAAGGTAAATATTTACTTTTCTTTTAATATTTAGTTTTCAGTCTTAAGGTCAGCTGCACAAATATCCATTAAGGTTTAATGACGTCTTAAGGCTGTAATGAATGTCAAATTTGTAAGAATAATATCTCATTGAACTAAAGACAATCAATGGATGCAACTGGCTGTAAATTAATTAAATGTTTATATCCAAGCACATTATTAAAGAAGCATGAAATATAAAAAGAAATATCAATTATTCCTCGATGTTAAATGAATAAAATTTAACAGCAAACCATAGCTTCTCCTATGCCCTTGATTATTATAAATATGTTTTTTTTTTGTTAGTTACGGAATATAACTGATTAATTCGAAACTGTTCATATTAGAAGAAATCTTTAAACTACAAATTGTAAATTATAAGCCATGATTGACACTGACCTCCATTTTTTATAGACGATTAAGAGCATATTTGTATTCATTATTCAACTCTGTATAAATACTCATTAAAAACATATTTATTCATTTAAGTGCGTTCTCAAACACGTTTTACAAGTATATAACATATTTGCTCGTTTGCACAAACGTTCACTAAGGTTTAATGACGCCTTTAAACTCTAATGAATGTCAAATTTGTATGGGTAATGCACTTTTAAACTAATGAAAATTTTAATAGACTTTTGTACAACTGGCTGATTAAATAGACATGGAAATAAAATAGAAATATTTGATAATTAGGCAGAATGAAGGCCTTCAAATAAAATAAAAAAACCTCTTTTTCAAAACATATAACCAATTTCAATGAAACTTTAAAAAAGTGATAAATAATACTTATCTCAAGAGCGACTAATTGAAGATAATACTATTGAAGTCAGTTATTAATTTATTATTTTCAGTGATACTGATATTTTTTATATAAAAGTTACCTTATTTTAGTGTTTTCTAAAAAAATTCAATATCTACATAACAAGTGCTTGGAAAATTGGTCAGTCCTATTTGTTAGGTCCTGGATAGCTCAGTAGTTAAAGCAGTCGCCCGCTTTGCGCAAGATCATGTTCGAATCCCATATCAGAGTGCCAGTGCATTTTTCAAACATTTTTCATTGTGAAAAATATTCTAACTAATTTTTTGCTACCTATATAACTAAAAATATCGCCTGCATTCAGAATTTTCAATACTTCTCGTTCTCAAGACTTCTTAGAAATATTTGATGAAAACTTATTATAATATTTTAGAACATGTATTGCATTAATTTTGCGTCTTAAAGATTTTATATTCAGAGTAAAATTATTATGTCAAAGATTAATTTATTTAGGTCTTTACTATCGAAAACTTAACTTGAAAACTTTACTATTCTATTTTAAATGAAAGTGGCAGTAATTTATATTGATTCTTTATTTGTTTATTCGGTTTTAATTCTGTTTCCAGGCACCAGTACCCGCTCAGCCTTGGGATGGTGTTAGAAGCGCCAAAGAGCACGGACCAGTGTGTCCCCAAAAAGACATCTTCACTCAAACAATTATCCCAGGCAACGAAGATTGTTTGTATCTGAACGTCTACTCCCCAGATCTGACGCCCTCTAAACCTCTAACGGTCATGGTATTCATCCACGGCGGTGGTTACAAAAGTGGTTCAGGTAACGTAGACCACTATGGCCCAGACTTCTTAATGGCCCACGATGTTGTCCTAGTTACTATAAACTACAGACTAGAAGCATTAGGATTCTTATGTCTCGACACAGAAGAAGTTCCCGGCAACGCAGGAATGAAAGATCAAGTTCTTGCATTAAAATGGGTGAACGAAAATATTAGTAAATTTGGAGGAAACCCTAATAATATCACCATTTTTGGCGAAAGTGCCGGAGGTGCCTCCACAGGGCTACATATCTTATCACCTATGTCAAAAGGCCTGTTCCAAAGATGTATACCAATGAGTGGTGTACCATTATGTGATTGGTCTGTACCATTCGAACCTAGAAGACGCGCCTTTGCTTTAGGTAAACAGTTAGGTTTGGATACAAACGACGATAAAGAACTTCTGGAATTCCTCCAAAACGTCCCTGTACAGGACTTAGTAGACGTGAAGGCGTGTGTGATCACTTCCGAAATACTCTCGGATAATATTATAAAAATGTACCCCTTTACACCTGTCATAGAAAAAGATTTTGGAGGTGTACATTTTCTTACGGAATGCCCGATAAAGATTTTGAAGAGTGGTAATATTAATGAAGCAGATGTCTTGATAGGCTATACCAGTATGGAAACATTGATTAGTATACCTGCGCTGGAGAATTCTCTTATAAAAGACTATTCTAAATACCCGGAACTATTAGTACCCAGGAAGATATTGCTTGAGTCGACGCCAAAGAAAATATTAGAACTCGCTGATCGCATATACAAGCATTACTTTGGGACAAAACGTATATCTTTAGATTCTATGAAGGAGATGATAATGTATACAGCAGAAAGTACATTTACATATGACATACACTTATATTTGAAGCTCCTTTCTAAGGCAAACAGAAACAAAAAAATATATCAATATAGGTTTTCAAGCTTTTCTGATCGAAATATTTTCGGACAATGGGGTATGAAGTATGGTTTAGTTGGTGCTTCTCACTTAGACGACCTGATGTACTTATTCCACGCAAAACATGCTAATTTAGAACTTGGACCAAAAGAACAAAAATTAGTAACACAAGCTTGTACTCTATTCACCAACTTCGCTAAATATGGGTAAGTCATCTGACGTCACCATGTCAATATCAAATTAAAAGGAAAATTCATCATGATAATCATTATTTAGTAATTCCAAAACATTTATTTGCATATTCCTGCATGTATTGACACTTAAAATATTCCTAACATTACTCATGCGCGTTGTTATTTTGCGTGCAAATCCGTCCTAATCAATATAATGTGAAGAAGAATCAAATTTTGCATTACTAACATTCCTAACGCTATACTAATAAATACTATTCATAAGATGCCTATCCAGGTCCTCAGGTCGGAGGTATGAGACTCTAATCTTAACCTATCGCAATCTCAACTGAGGCATTACGCCTGTGTCTTACTAGATCTGGGCGAACAGTCCGTGTACCGTCTCGTTATGTTTAATATATTATCCGTGTAAAAGTGCAGAACTCACTCTTGACCTTTTTTCTAATCTATTATTATGAAGTATATTGTTTGTGGTTCTGTCTTTTAGCCGCCATGAAAAGAATTTAAATATATTTTACGAGCTTGTGTGAAGATTACAGTTTAGTTATTTTAATCGTATTTCAGTTTAATTAAACAATTTATAATTTATAATAGCGTGTTTTCTGTGCCAAGGGCCATTATCAGACTAGCGCTATACAACTAAGAATATAAGCCTTTTTCGAATTTTAAGAAATAATTCTTTGATTGAGAATTAAATGCAACGTGTTAAGATCTGTTACGAACCCGTATATACCCTAAGAATTTCATTATATTTATGTAGGTATCACAACAAAATTGCAAACATGTTTGCCATCAAGATGTTTTTCTTCTTCTTCTTTTTTAATTAATGACTTATCTGCGCATTTCGCACAATTCTGCCGATGTCAAATAAAAAATAAATTAATTTTTACATGTAAAATTAACATTAAATGAATGAATCCTCATTTAAAAAGTCATGTTTTTCTTGAAATATGATGAATTGCGTTTTTTGGACATATTTGATTGACAGACAAGAATATACCAAAGATAAATAAATGTATACTTTGAATATACAAATAAATAAAATTGGAGTGACTGTTTGTAATGTTAAAATAACCGGTTTTACTAAATGCATATGCTCTTTACATATCCCAATTTTTTGTCTGTCTGTTCCGGCTTATACCGGAAACAGCTGTATCGATTTTGACGGGACAGATAACTTATGTAATAAAGAGTAACTTATTTGATAACCTTTTGCATTACAACTAGTTTTAATTTTCTATAAAATACGACCCGATTTTTTATTAATTTTATTGTTTTTGAAATTTGCCGATTCAATTTTTACAAAATGACGATTATTATGGTAGGAACCAAATCAAATAATGCTTGTTCTAATAATAATTATGTTAACAAAACATCTTTAATGGTAGTACAAAAACAAAATAAATTTTGTAAACAAACGTTCTAATGTATGCAGAAGTATCTTTATAATTCAACTATATTTAGGGAGTATTTCGTGAATTTAATAACGCTTATCAAAATGACTTCAAACTAGATTGAAGAGACTAAATCCCTTTGCTTGTAATAAAAACCAACAATGTGTCGTCAAGAGTTAGGAAAATGTCAAAATTGATCCTGGATTAACTGGGAAATTAAAAGATTGGTATTCGATTAATTGCGAAATTATCAAATATCCAATAACATATTATTAGCTGTCATTTACTATTAATACGAGTGTATTAAGCGTGAATAAGTGCGTACAGACAGAGCGACTGAACGGCCTATGAACGTCCAACACATAATCAATTAACAAACCTTATAGCTTGTATTAAATATATAACTTCGTATACGGACCAACAAAGCCTATTATTAAAGGTTACTGCCTGGTAATCTATTATTATAATATAATATATAATGATGTAATGAACGACAAGGAGAATCGTTTAATTATTTCATATTAATATTGTACACGCCAAAGTGGGTCTGTGTATATGTCAGTTACGCTATCAAGCCTAATTAACTTAACAGAGTTGACTTGAGATAGGACATAAGTTGTCAAAACTCAAATTTTTGTGATAAGTTCGCCATTGTCAACGATAAAATCATGAAACTTTATTTCAGGTATTTCACACGATATATTAAATAAATATTCGTTTTAGAAATGCTGCTTTAAGTAACTATACCACGCGGACGAAGTCGCGGGTAAAAGCTAGTCTACCTATATAATCTATTTTAACTTCACAGTTGTTAGGAAATTTATAGATGATATAACTTTACTTAATCAAGATAAAAAAGAAATTTATATGATTAAGATAACATAAATAACAAAACTAAACTAAATAAATAAAAGAAGAATGGATCAGGGGCGATAATTAAAATGAGTTTTTCTACATCTCGATTAATGCCTTAGGCCACAATAATATCACAATAATATTAATAGGCTATCACTAAGGAAAGAACACAGTAGTGGTACAATGCTGGAGTAGAAAGTAGCCCGGCGGATCCCGGATCCCGCACCGAATTTGACCAGGTACGCCGACCTCGCTTAAGCCTGTCCTTTTCAGGATGAGTGCGGGATCGTAGGGACCTAAGGTTGCATTTCCTCTGCGTTAAAAAATGATAGTTGTTAAGAAATTGTAAACAAATTAAGAATCATCAAACCGATATTACTTTAAACTCTGCATTAGTTCGAAATAATTTAGAGTATTCTAGTGTTGTATGAAACTCCTACTGCGATATTTATATAAATAGAATTAAATGAGTTCAAAAACAATTTTTGTGGCATCTTTCGTACGGGTGCAACATGGCCAAAAAGTTGCCAAGTATATCGGCAGACTTCGTTATTATAAGCTACATTCGCTGGACAACCACAGGCGTTCATACATCCGATGTGTTATCGAAAATAAATATCCGCATTCCATTACATTTTCCAAGATTTTCTGCATACACACCCTTTGTAGATTCTCAAGGTCACGTCAGGGTAGCTACTCACAGACGTATAGATGAGTAATAGCCTACAATGTTTTTTTACAAAAATGTAAAATTTCAGTCTCTAATCAGTATTTTGTTGACATTGACATTTTTCCAATTCTCTGATAAAATTTAAGACTAATATTAAGCAGTTACTTGACATAATGCTTTAACTGTAATTCTTTTATTATTATTTATCAATTTTAGCATTCATAGTGCTATACCAAAAAATATTCATAATGAAAATTGCTTAAAAAATCAACTTTAAATATTATTCATTTACAGCCTGTTGCACAGACGTCCATTAACATTTTCATTAGTTTAAAGTGACATTATTCATACAAGTTTGACATTCATTAGAGCTTAAAGGCGTCATTAAATCTTAATGGACGTTTGTGCAACTTGCCGTAATAATATTTAATATTGTTTTTATATTTTATCTTATTTTATGTAATGTCTATAAGTTTTGTATAATTATGTTTGTCTGATGTTAAATTTAATCAAATTTAATTGAATTTTGAAACAATGACGTACAATGATTACCTTTAATATATAGTTACGTGAATAAGTTAATGTAAATCATATTGGTGTAAATAGATAGACAGATAGATAGTCTTTTTAATGGACAAACGACTAAGTTAGTAGCGCTGCTTTTTGGATTTGACAATCCATTAAAATTCGTCCGTCGTTATTAAATGTCAAAATAGTAAAATGAAAGGAGTTGACGCCATAACATCACGTATGCTATAATATACGTAGACAGTTTGGCGATCGCACCTCTTTTATCTATTTTATTTATAGGTCCCGTAGTCAATGTAGAAAATGGACTTTTCTATATTGTCTCGGATCTGGGTGTTGTGGTACCTTCGTTGTCTCAGATACTCCATAACATGCGAGTCTATAGATACTCATCTCATCTTCATCTTCATCATCATCATCATCAGCCCGTTTACGTCTCCACTGCAAGGGCTCAGGTCTTCCTTATGGATGGTTAAGGAGGATGGGCCCTAACCCTCCACGCTGACGCAATGCGGATTGGAGGGTATTAACGACTGCAAATGCAACCGGGACCAACGGCTTAACGTGCCTTCCGAAGCACGGAGTAGCTCGATTTAATAATTTTTTTTTGGTCACCCATCCCGTGACCGATCCTCGCGAAAGTTGCTTAACGATAACGATCGCTGGCCGCGGCGCTTATCCATTACGCCACCGAGCTACTCCTTATCCACTACGCCACCTCGGTGATACTCATCTAAATAGATACTCATCTAATGTTAATTTATTTAACTTTTTTCCAGGGCTTTGACCACTCCTACATCTGGAATAGAGTGGCCAGAGTACGGGGAGGGAGAGTACTATGGAGATATAAGCGATGAAGTCACCATTGGCCAACACCTGGACCATGAAGCCATTAGCTTCTGGAAAAGCATTTACGAAGATGCGGGAATGGACTATTTTAATATCGATTAAGGTTAAATAATATAATGCCTACAATCGTACAAAACGTTTTTCCGATTCATGTTATTATGTTTAAGACAAAGGATTTTCTCTAGAGAACAGGGTAACAAGAGTGACAGCCTGATATTATTTAAATAAAGATATACAATAATCTGCCAAACTCAATAAAAAACAAACAAACAAAGAATTTATTAACTAAAAATAATTATTATACATTCTTGTATGGTATAATAATTCTTTTTTTTTCACTTAGGTATTCACCTAAGTGAGAAACTTTAACTCTACTTTTGTATTTTAATTTTAATATCTACTTAATTTAAATATCTACTTAATTTAAATATCTACTTAATTTAAATATCTGCTTAATGGGTAAGTTCTAAAACATAAATTATTTAGTTTATTAAAGTAAGGAAATACTTATTACATATACTTATTTTAAAATTTGCTGTGCCCGACGGGGTCCATAATGATACTTTTGTTTTTTTTATATAAACATCCTAATACTACATTGTGGATTGAAATAAATAAAAAATAAATAAAGAATGCATTTTTTATTTATAATATCAATACGGAATTCATCATAAACCCATATCATTTAAGACCTTTGATGACTTTTTTCAATTACTATATGTAAATCTATCACATAAAATTCGGCTGCACGTCAGTCTATCACAATATATTAAATATTCTCAATTGATTTTGAACTCCACCCTAATGCGTTAAGGTTTAAAATCGAGTGGAGAAATTTGAGACTTTTGTATATTCTGACGTGATGTTGACTTATCAAAAATTTTTATAACATTTGGGATCTGGTGATATATGTTATCTAATATTTATTATTTACACCACACATCATCAGCTTGTTAAGGTACCCACTGCTGTGGCATAGGCCTTCCATAAGGATGGAATCGAATAGGGAGCATGGGCCATGCATGACCCACCACGCAGGCCCAGAACTGATTGGTAGGTGTTAACAACTACACAGCTATATATATGGCCATATAATAATAATAATAAAAATATTTATTAATTATTTGAAACCAACAGCGTGACAAAGGTTTATACATAGACATAATTATAGTATAAGTAAGGCCAATAACAGGTTTCATGCATGTATTATTACAAAAGTATCCGCACTTAATTATTACAATTCTCAATTGGTATGGTTGTTATATATATATATATATATATATATATATATATATATATATATATACACACATACATAAACACACGCGTGCAACATAGCAAAATTACATTTAAATCAACTTCATAATGAGCAGTATCCAGTAAAAATGTACATTAAGTTATCAAATTATTTAAAACTAGACTAGACTAAAACTCGCAGTTATTGCATTTTTAAATGCTCTCATAGGGCGCTTGTGCACTACACTGAATTTTCAGGTCCGGCGGTCCGATTTTATCCGGTCCGGAATGACATGAAAAACCCGGATGAGTAGCTTGTGCACTTGTCCGTTTTTTTCCTGATCGGAGCGGCGCAGTGTAGGGCAGCTCTCTTTGAAGCTACACGTCACTTACACTAGATACAATGAGATTTTGGAACGTCGGTAATTGCGTTCGAAGACGTAGAAAGGTACCTAAATAATGACCTAATCATTTTACATAAACCATAATAAATTATGGCAAAACGAAAGCATTTTTTTTACTTCTATCGGATGACTACTATCAGATGTAAAAACTTATAAACTTACTAATTTAGGTTCAGCATTATTCACATACAATAGTTAAAAATATCTGTGACATTAGAATAAAATTACTGATAATGGTCTAGTACTTGATGTTTTTAATTTATAAACGTGCTATTTTTTTTTCAGATGTTTTGTAAAAAGCAACTTTAAGCGATTACAGAGATAGACCAATCGGTGGCGCCATTTCGTAAACAAATCGAAATGAGTGCCGTGTAAGCGGAGAATTAATATGCTAAATGAACTTTTCGAGATCAGTTGACTGTATAATACTTATATAGGCATAATTTAATACGCGTGGTGTAGTTTCTTTGAGCAGAAATATTTTTCCCTTAGAATACTTCTTTTTTTTAATTTATTTATGACAATCAGTCATTTCAAATTGTCTTAAATGCGAAAAAGATATTAAGTGTCACTTAAGTACTTCTGTTAATCTTCTGTTTATTGTTTATTATTACTTCTGTAATCAAATATTTATCTATACTTATCAATTGTTGATAATGACTTATTTCCAGGCAAACTTTCATCCCCTATTTTTCGCGATAAAATGAAGCCTATGTCCTTTCTTAAAGTTAAGTCTATTTACAATATTAATTTCCTTTAAAATGGGTTCAGTTGTTTAGGCGTCTAAGCGTAACAACACTTATTTATCTTACCTTAAGTTATCGATAATTAAATACGATTCTAAAATCTAGCTAAGTATCGATACTAGAACCATACGCAAATTAGATCTATACCGAGTTTGCCAAAGCATATGCAGTGATATTTACCAACTATATTTAATCATCGTATAAAATATAGCATTTTATAATCTACAATAAATATCGATTATAAGTTTATTGAAAATTAATAATATCGCCGAAATAAATATCGATTATACACAAATCGATTATTTTTTCCTAAGCCTATTTCTTATGAATTTTACGGATCGCGGACACAACAGTACACAAGCGTAAACACGTTTTTCATTGCCGCCATCACGGACCTGAAAAAACCGGTCCGGAATAGAGAAAAGTAAAATCCCGGACGGTAAAATTCCTGACAGTGCACAGGCTAGCATTACCTATATATGGCCGATATATTGGACCGGAAAAAATCGAACCGCCGGACTTGAAAATTCAGTGTAGTGCACAAGCGCCCTTATTCAGCAAAAAAATGTCACGAGTATTTAAGTATTCATTGTACTACATCTTAGGAAGCCGTGTCAGTGCACTGTTCATAGCGTAGTTGGATGACCACAGTGGAACATGAAATATAGGCGTATGCCTTGTGCGACGTACAGGTGTCCGATATGCAATACCTGCTACTAGTTCAGAACAGTCCAAATGACTATTCACGATGACGAACAAAAGGGTCATGTCAAGAACTTTGCGTCTATTTGCCAGAGTAAGAATATTATAATTATGACACGCATCAGGGTAAGAGTCAAACGACTTACGAGCAAATCTTTTGTATCTTTTCAATGCGATTATTGCGAACTGCATATTGAGGCGACTAAATTGAACAAGCGTATTATATACTACGTACATAAGCAAAGTAAACCGATTTTAATATAAATACACCTTTAAATGGTTTGTATTGCAACGTAAAATTTAATTATTTCTTCATATCCCAGTTACAATTTTGTCTTATAGTTAGGTAGTTAAGTATAAATAAGGAAACAAAAAGTAAGCAGTTTACTCGTATTAATAGAATAACCTCGTGACATAGGTATTTGTTTTCTTTGAACTATGAAAAACAATGTTATTTATAGGTAGGTAATATTAAATCTTATTTAAGTATGAGAAAATTTTAAATTATTTAACAACAGCTAACATAGTTGTATAGATTTTTTGTTAAGATTAACTAAAGTAAGTTACGTACATATGTACTTACATATTTTACCTTCAACTTATTCTTATGAAGTTGAATTCAGAATTCAGTTGTGTGATACAAATTTCATTGAATTTTCTTATTCTTGTAGTAAATATATATAACAAAGCTTGGTTTCTACTCACACAAGATATGTAACACATATTTATAGTTGCATATACAGAAACATAAATATTAACACTAAATTACACAATTTTGTTAAGATGGGCCATCGAATTATGTTTTTATCAGACACTGGCATATAAAATGTCTGCTACCTCATTGTTCCACGCTTTGGAACTACCTCTCCGCCAAATAAAATTATGGCTCGAGATTTATGGTGCTGTTTAATTGTTTTTTATGCCGTTAAAATCACTATAACTTTTAAAGCTTCGCAGTTATTATCTACGAATCAAAACCAGATCAAACCAAAGCAAAGACAAAATCATCATCATCATCATCACCAGCCCTTTTACGTCCCCTCTGCAGGGGCTCAGGCCTTCCTTATGGATGGTTAAGGAGGATGGGCCATGACCCTCCACGCTAGCCCAATGCGGATTGGAGGGTATTAACGACTGCAAATGCAGCCGGGACCAACGGCTTAACGTGCCTTCCGAAGCACGGAGTAGCTCGAGATAAAAATTTTTGGTCACCCATCCCGTGACCGACCCTTGCGAAAGTTGCTTAACGACAACAATCGCGGTCCGCGGCGCTTATCAACTACGCCACGGAGCTATTTATAAAGACAAAATCGCTTTTAGAATAATAGTAAGTCAGGAATAACCTATTTGTTTTTGTCATTACAATCTTATGTCATAAAATTAATAACAGCAATGTAGTTATAAATCAGGATATAGATACTGGTGATAAAGTGTAGCATGTTACAGCACCATGTGTCTTATATTTAGAACCCGATATTTTGTAAATACGGAAACAAACATCTTGTTTTACATTTTTCACATAACGTGATTAACTGCCTTCTGAAATATTTACTGATTTAATTTCCATTTATTTATTTTATTTCAAATTGAGGGTACACAAATGCAAAATCCTTTACCTCCCGTTCTAGTATTCACTGTGTGACGGCAAGGTAATGATTCTCGATCCGTGTCATTAAATAAGTCGTACGAGAAACAAATGGTACATGCAAAAGAAACAGACAACTCACGTCAAGCAATTTAGCCAAATATTTAAGTCGAATTAAAATTTTCGATTGAGCAATCAGAGCAAACAAAACAGAGGAAAAAAATAAGAGCAATATATATATACTTATTGTAAATTGTGCCTACATATACGATGATTATACTCGTATAAATATTTTATAACTTCGATTTTAAATTTCTTTGCAGGCATGATCAATCGAAATCCAATATACAAAGTTGCGATCTATAAATATTTACAAATCTATAACGTATACATAAGTAATAAAATAAATATATTTAGTAAAAAAATCGTTTAAATACTAGTTCATAAAGTTATACTCAGTAACCTTTCAGTCATTTCATAGTAACACTTTACTAGATACTCGTACATTGCATTTCCACATAAGGACCTTATTTTGTTTTCTAAATTTATATGTTTATTGATTCTATTGTATAAAAAAGGACTCAAAAATGAAGAGAATTTGTGCACAAAACCCGTTTTGCAAGCTGGTACTTTAAAGACGACATGTGATCTACGATTTGAGTTTTAGTCCCTAGAGTGAGAATGTTGTTTTAGGATATCTGATTTAATATATAATTGTCTAACCATTAGTCCTTGAAATCGTGTATATAATGCAGTTATTGGAAATTTAAAGAGCTTGAAAAGTATAACATTTAAAATAGGCCTTTCTAATTTTAATAATGTAGTTTTGGATGTTACACCCTATGCAGTGATACCATAACAAAGGAGAGACTGACACAAGGAAAAATAAACAGTTTTATTTGCGTGTTCACCTCAAAATGTCAATTTTTTTAAATATATGTTTGCGTATCCGTGATTTAAAAATTATCTATATGGACTTTCCAATTTAGATTCTCATCTATTGAAATGCCTAAATATTTAATACTAGAGACTGCTAATTGGTATAACAATTACAGTTTGTTGTATTGTTACAAATATGTAATTTTAAATTGAATTCGGACGAGGAGTGTGTCTTATTTGAATTAATTGAAAAGGGATATATTTAGTTTTCCCTTAGTTGATTGTAAGTAAACTATTATACGACAATTTTATTATGTATCTAAGTCATCTTTCAGCATGAATTTAAGTTCATTTGCAGTCTTTGCCGTAAACAGCAACACTGTTTTGGTACATTTGCATTACAAATATTATTTATATATATATATATATATATATAAAAGAGAGCGTTGGTCCAAGTACTGAGCCCTGTGGCACACCATAAATTTTATCTGTTTAGAACTATACATGTCACCAATATTAAGTGTTTGTAACCTATTTGACAAGTAATCCCTCAGAAGATCGAGGGGAAGGCCTCGTATTCCAATTTCTTCCATTTTGTGCAGCAGCAAGGGTATCGAAACAGTATCAAATGCTTTGGCTAAATCTAAGAAAATACCAAGACATTTATGCTTCGTATTTAACGCCTTAACCTCATTAGAAACCAAATCATCGATTGTATCCGCCGTAGTTTCATTTTGTCTGAAACCATATTGATTTTTTGATAAAATGTCATTGGATTGCAGATATTAAACAAGTCTGTTATTATAGTTGGAAGCAATGAGATAGGTCCATAATTCGAAATCTCATTCAAATTTCCACTTTTGAATTTAGGAACAATAAGAGATTCCTTCAACATCTTTGGGAAGACACGAGATGAAATACTTGGATTGCAGATGTGAGAAATAGGCACAGCAAGAAAATCAACCAATCTCTTCAACCCAATCAGCAGAATTACTTTTTTAATGACCCAATAATTATTAGTTATGATTGGGATATACCAGTCCAATCAGCAGAATTACTTTTTTAATGACCCAATAATTATTAGTTATTTCAGTTACATTATTTGGTATTAGCAAAAATGAATGTATTGGTCCATCATTATGTTTATGTTGTTTAACCAAATCAACCTATGTTATATTTAGATTTTGTAAGATCTTCTCAGCAATATTAATTTGCCTGATTAAGTGATTCTATTGGACTTTCTTTGTTTTAGAATTAATGTCGTTTGGATTTTTTTTTTTATGTTTTCGATGAAATGTATCACGAAATTTTATGCAGCGTAGCAATCCTGCAGTCATCCAGGGTTTGATTGTAGATTTTCTATTTGTCATCATTTTTAAATTATATTTCTTTCAGTATATTAATGAACGTTGCATTGGCGACATTTGCGTCAGTGATATTAACTGTTCCAATTATTTTCCTGCAGTAGCATCGAAACTTTACTATAGTCTATTTTTGTGAGGGAAGAGTACGTTTTATTTAAATAACAACTCTTTGGCATACATGACTGTATAAAAACCGGACTAAGATCAGTGACAGAAGTTTTACATACTGTGGTAAGTATTTTATTTCTTGTCTTTACAAAACAATAATCGAGACACTTTGGCCCACGAGTGGGTAAAATATGACTAAGTGATAGACCATGTAATGCGAGCGAGTCCATATATTATTCAGATCTTTGATCGGTATTATCTTTACTCGTATCAATATTGATATCACCGATCTTATGTATATATATTGGGGACACGTTTTATATTTTGTAATAGGTTATACAGAGAATTCTGGAAATTAAGATGTGAAGTAAATGATGGTGACCTATGTACACAGACTAGTGAGTAATAATTTCCTATTTGTACTACCAGACAGTCAGCATCATTAATAGTTGGTCAGAGACATCCTTAATATTCTCCCCAATGTATACAACGACCCCACTGTTTTGTTTCAAATATTTTGCAGTAAACTGGAACCGGCAAAAAATTGGAACTTTTGAGCCAACATTCTATCAGCACAATAATGTCGTAATGAATCAAGAATATCTCGAATTCATGAAAATTTTATTTAGACTTCATATATGGCATGTAGATGCAAAAATATATTTAACTATAAATAATATTAAATAAGTTTTTGAAATAAAAATGGCGAAGATGACTGATTTTTGTTTGCTTATTAATGAGGTAGGTTGTTGAAAAATATTAAACAAGTAATTTGTATGTTTTTTTTTTGTAAACTGTATAAATTACGGTCTTGTTGTTAAGCAACTTTCGCAAGGGTCGGTCACGGGATGGGTGACCAAAAAATTATTATCTGGAGCTACTTCGTGCTTCGGAAGGCACGTTAAGCCATTGGTCCCGGCTGCATTTAAAGTCGTAAGTACCCTCCAATCTGCATTGGGCCAGCGTGGAGGGTCATGGCCCATCCTCCTTAACCATCCATAAGGAAGGCCTGAGCCCTGCTGTGGGGAAGTAAAAGGGCTGATGATGATGTTGACAATGCTACATTGATTTGAAAGATCACATGACGCACATCTTTTTGTACATTTTCTACACAGTTGTGACGCAGTGAGCCTCCACTCCTCAACTGTAACGCCCATTATCTTAGCCATTTTTTGTTAAATTGATGCAAAAATATGTATTTCATATTGTTCAATTATCTAACTGACGGGCTAAATAGATTTATTTTATATAATAATAGATTTCATCCCTATTATAATAATTATTATAGTAATAGTAGCTCGGTGGCGTAGTGGATAAGCGCCGCGGCCCGCGATTGTAGTCGTTAAGCAACTTTCGCAAGGGTCGGTCACGGGATGGGTGACCAAAAAAAATTATTATCTCGAGCTACTCCGTGCTTCGGAAGGCACGTTAAGCCGTTGGTCCCGGCTGCATTTGCAGTCGTCAATACCCTCCAATCCGCATTGGGCCAGCGTGGAGGGTCATGGCCCATCCTCCTTAACCATCCATAAGGAAGGCCTGAGCCCCTGCAGTGGGGACGTAAAAGGGCTGGTGGTGGATAATAATTATAAAATCTTCTCAACGCTGTAGAAAAAGTCGATATCCTATCAATATTATAACTATTTTATAAATCACAACAACACTTTCCATGATATTTTTGTAAAAAGCTAACATTCACGACCACATTATTTTCAAACTTTAGAGTTATCAAAATTTTTCAAAGTTGAAGATTCGCTGTAAAGCCTATTTTGTTATTTTTTATAAATGAAGTAATTGTTTTGTTTTATCTTTCATATTATTTACTTTCCAAGTTTTACATTCCATTGTACTAAAATACGCAAAATTGTTTGACGTACCCAGTATAGTAAGCATATTACAATATCTCGATCGCACAACTTTACCTGTAACAAAAAAAGGTTTGAATATTAAACTTGATTAATTTCATATTCATAATACTATAACATTAATCTTATCAAAAAATAATTTAAAAATCATTAGTCCTAAATGACAAAGATGGTATTTGAAATCATAATTAGTATGACAAAACAGAAAAGTCTGTAAATTTTTAAGATTGTACGATATTACCACTTTTTAAATCAATTTTATATATACTTATATTTGCCAAATAAAAATAATTTTATGAAAATAAACATTACTATCGATTCTTTGCAAAAAACAGATACTTTTGCAAAAACTACTCCGGCCGATAGAAAAAAAAGCAAAGCATACTTTAAATAGTCAATACATATCAACTGTATAAAAAATATATACAAAAATAAGTTTTGATATAATCTAAATTGATGAAAATGTTTTCATATGAAGAGGGCGCGTCTTTGTTTACGTATTTGTATGGGAATGTAAGCGGAGGTACAAGAGAGCCTTAAGCACATGCTACTTTCTTTACTTGCGCACATATTTTTCTCGACGTTCAGACAGTCCAACTTAAACAGCTAAAAGGAAAATTTCACAAATTTTTATAGCTTTGACCTACATGAAAATGTGTATATTATATTTATGTGATATAAAAAAATTATTAAGTTACAAAGAAACCTCTAAACTTCAGCATTTTGTACGTTTCTTTTCGTAATGATATGTAATAAAGGAAAAGATTCTTTGTAACCTAGAGCTTAACTAACAACTTTTTTATTATATATATATTTATATTATTTACATACAATTGCACTAACGCCCATTAAATTTTTCAATAGTTTAATCACCCATTAGACATTAAAGGTGTCAGTAAACGTTAATAGACGTTTGTGCAACTGACCGTTAGTCAGTGCCACTCTTGTTTATTGATAGTACGGCGTATATATAGGCTATCAAGAATATACGAGTTATTTAAAAAAGAAGTTCACGTGGCACATATATAATGGTATATAATTGTAACAAAAAAATAATAAGCTTTATAAAATGTGTTACATCTAAGTATCGCATTCCAAGCCAGTGTTTGGTAGTTTGGGCTCTTTAATGCTCTCCATGTATCCCATATAGACAGAATGCTGTCTAGACTCTAGACCGTCAGCTGATTTATAAAAATGTGTTTAATAAGAAGTTCCTAACACTGTGATTTCAATCCAAATACACCACTAACAAGGATGTTAGTGGATGACTATTTGGATTTAATGGTGTTTTTATTAGTTTAAACTATTGTAATAATGATGATAAGATGGCATAAAGTATCTTATCTTTAGTATCAATGATGTCATCGTCAACAGTTTTTATAGTGTAGATTATAACAGTGATTGCCTGTTTTATAATTGGAGCCGAAATTATGTCGAATAAAGTAATAGTTACAATTGCAAGGCCGATGAATAGCGTCGTGTTTCCTTGTCCATTAAATTTAATTCTATTTGTTAATATATTCGTTTAATATCAATTAGTATTAAATACATATACTTTTTATACATAAAACACTTTAAAACTTAACTTATTTTTCTCACTTAAATTAACAAAATGGTGAAAGTGAAAGTACAACAAGGCTGGTTAGAAGGTGAACTATTAGAATCCTCAACAGGACAAAGCTCTTTTCATAGTTTCAAAGGGATTCCATACGCTACTCCACCGTTGGGGAAATTGAGATTTAAGGTAGTATTTTTCCAACGATTTATTAAATGATTTATCCAGTTATAAAATTGATGATAAAGATAATCTAACAATGTATTTGGCAGCAAAGTACGATAATTAACACTTTTTAAACTCATTAAATATAATTGACGACCTCCAATTGGTTCGTTCGCCGAAAAATGGACCTCTTTATAAAAATATTCTTTTGGATGTAGATTTTATGTAACCTTCGTTATGCAGATATCCATTGCAAATGCTTCTTCCGTGTAATGTATGTGATGTTATTTAATATTATATTCAACAAAAACCATAATATATTTAATGAGTTTTTTTTTTTAAAGACTACATAATTCTAACATGTTACTAAAAAAAAGACAGAAAATGTATTTTTAACAGACTCCTTTTCCTTTGTCAGAAACAAACAGACGGCAATATACAAGTGACAGAATTTGCACTTATTTGTTGAGTTATTAAGGCATAAATATCATTGTAGAAGTAAAGAAATTTAAACCTTATCATCATTACTATACAAATCTTAGTGCAACTAATATTAATTATACCTCCACGCAATCGTATTATTTTCCCTATTATGACTATTAGTCACCTCCGTGAGTCTGCCGATTGCAGTATTGGAGTTTCCGTGTCTGATTTCCATCTGATCAATGCAGATATGCAAACAAAACTTCTGAATTACACGAGTACCAAAACACAGAAAAAGCATTACTAAATGGTAAGGTTTCCGAAAGGTGCATGATACAATAAAAGACAAAAGCCATTTAGATGATTGGTTAATTAAGCTATTTATCATGTTTATATCAGAACATATAATTTAACTTAAAGACAGTCTGACAATATCAATTTATAAGAGATGTCATCCAATGACGTTTTATTATCATTAGTCTATAAAAGAAGTATAAAACTTCTTGGCAAAGTGTATGACTGCAAACATAACAAGTTCGCAATATTGCAATAATAATATTAGTATTGTTTCTTTTTAATCAACTTTGTGTTTTCTTAGTAAGTAAGTAAAATTTGATTAGTAATCTGTGCTACTACTGATTGAATATAATAATACATAATAACATTAGTATTTTTTTCTCTATTTCAGGCACCGCTGCCTTCTCAATCTTGGGATGGAGTAAGACAAGCAAAAGAATTTGGACCTGTTTGCTCCCAAAAAGACTTAGTTAATGAGAAACTTTCACTAGGAAGTGAAGATTGTTTGTACCTCAACGTTTATACACCCAATGTAAAACCATCCACGCCTTTCGCTGTTATGGTATTTATCCACGGAGGTGCCTTTAAATGGGGTTCTGGCAACGATGATAACTATGGTCCTGACTTCTTAATGGCTCACAATGTAGTCCTAGTTACCTTCAATTATAGGTTGGAAACATTAGGATTCCTATGCCTCGACACAGAAGAAGTTCCCGGCAATGCAGGAATGAAGGACCAAGTTCTTGCTTTGGAATGGGTAAAAGAAAATATAAATAACTTTGGAGGTGATCCTGATAATATAACAATTTTTGGTGAGAGTGCAGGTGGAGCTTCTGCAGCTCTTCATCTCTTATCTCCTATGTCTAAAGGTCTCTTCAGAAGGTGTATTCCGATGAGTGGTGTACCTTTTTGTGACTGGGCAGTACCCTTTGAAGCTAAAAGACGCGCTTTTATATTAGGGAAACAATTGGGCTTCGATACGAAGGATCCCAAAGAACTTCTTGAATATCTTCAGAGCGTCCCAGTAGAGAAGCTCATTGACGTCAAACCATGCGTGCTAGCTGCTGAAGAAATAACTAAAAAAGTCTTCAAAATATTTATTTTTACTCCTGTGGTAGAAAAAGATTTTGGTAGTAATAATTTCCTGACGGAAACACCATTTCAAGCTCTAAAAAATGGTAACATAAACGACGTAGATGTCTTAATTGGTAATACCAGTTTAGAGTCATTAATATTATTACCTCTACTTGATAAGTTATCTGTAGAAGAATTTATAAAATATCCAGAGCTAATAGTTCCAGTAAAAATGTCTCACGAATTGGGGCCACTAAAGATTTTAGAAATTGCAGATCGAATTTATGAGCATTATTTTGACACAAAAGATGAATCAGTAGATATCGTTAAACAGCTCGCCAGCTACGCCATGGATATATTTTACGTTTATGACATTTATAGATTTTTGAAACTCCTAACAAACACTGGCAAAAATAAAAGATATCAATATAGATTCTCATCTATTTCCGATAGAAATGTGTACGGACAAATCGGTGAAAAATATGGCTTAACTGGAGCTTCTCATATGGATGATATGATGTATTTATTCGATGCGAAACAGACTGTTCAGACTATAGGGGAAAGGGAACAGAATTTAATAAACCAAGCATGTACACTTTTCACAAACTTCGCTAAATATGGGTAAGTTAGCAAAATAAATATTTGCTCAACAAATATTTTTAAGATGTTAAACCTTAAAGGATAGCTTTGTCTGTCTATTAGTCCATCCGTCCGTCAGTTTAAGAAGAAACTATATTGTGAGTGCTAAGAATTTCAATGTACAATTACGTCACGATTTTAAAATAGCTCTGAAGTTATTTAAGAAAATAGGGGAAAATTTACTATCTATATATATTCGAAACTATTGGTTAGAAAAAAAAACCCTTACTTCTATGTTTATATATAACCCGCGGTCCTCGAAGACAGTTTGCGATAAGTCGGTATTTCCAATTCCATTTCCACCTTTGTAATATCTGACGATGAGTTTTAATCAGTAAATTATAATTGCCAATATGAACGTTTCATACAGCATACTGACTTCGGGATCATGTGAAGTGGACTGGCCAGAATACGGCGACGGAGAATACTATGGAGACATAGGAGATAAAGTCACTATAGGGCAACACCTGGACAAGGACATCATCAGCTTCTGGAAGAACCTTTACGATTATGCTGGAATTGAGTTTATATAAACTAAAAGCGGACATTATTAATGAATAATAGTTTTATTTGCATATAACACACACACACACAACATTACTTCGAAAAAGATATTTCGTAAACACTTTTTGAATTGACATTTTTAAATTAATTGTATTTTGTTAATTTTGGATTCACAATGCTATACTGATAACCAGTGGCATAACTACAGGGTGGCAAGGCGGCAAAATGCCACGGGTCCCCAGCTGGAAGGGGCTGCCGGTCAGAGGAGATTCCTTACTCCTGACATTTATTATTACACAATTAATAAAAAAAATTGGATCTCCGATAAATTTGCCACGGGCCTCAAACGGTATAATTACATCAGTTGATAACTGGGGGTACCTGGGTCTGATGGCATTTTTAAGTATTTTTCATAAAAGATATTTTTATTTATTAATAAAGATATAGATATTTATTTGTTTAAAAACTTTTTGCCAGTACTTTCACCCCCGTGGTCCTGTTTTATACATATAAAACTTCTCTTGAATGTCACTGAATATTGATGAAAAGCGTATTCAAATCCGTTGTGTTGTGTAGTTTAGAAGCCCTCAACGTACAGACAGCGGGAAGCAATTTTGTCTTATACCATATATAGATTTAAGTTCTATTTATGTTTAATAAAATGTGGTTCAATATTCCATTGAATGATATATTACGACCCATATTGTTTTATATTGTAAACAAACTTATACTGTTTTTACTCAAATTTTCATCTCACTATGTACAATTTTCTTCCACAAACAATAAAATGAGATAAACAAAATTACACAAAAAATAGAGATATAATACTAATTTTCAAAAATAACTTTGCGATTGTTGAAGACTCAAGTGCGAAAATAATTTACCGACATGACCTTCTTTCACACCACTGACTTCTGAGTCACATTCATATGTCTGTGTTTTAGAGAAATATGATTCTTATAATTGATCAATTTTGCATTTAATAACAATGCTATATTACTAAGGATAAATATGATTCTAGTCATATGCTAAAATTTGCACTAACAAATATATTATCTACGATTTTGTAAAACAAACAATATATCTATAAAATCCTTAGGTTTTAATTTCATTTAATGATGTTATTATGTAGAATGATTGTTTATATTTTTAACTATCATATATTTTAAGGATATAATAGCATTGTAAATGTGACAGTCACTAAAAGTGATAATATGATTTATTAATAAGTAATAACTGTAATATAAATCGAATTTAAATGATGCGAATTGGGAATATAGGAACAACAAACTACCCTTAAAATATACAAGGACCATCGCAACAACTTTGTTTTTTAATTGCACGCCACCTAAAAACTATTACTTTGAGCTAAGCCCTTTTAAACGTAGATACACGTATCTAGTTTTAATGTAGAAATATCGACATCTAGAAATCCTAGCTCAAAGTTAGCTCTGCGAGCAAAATCGAACGTGCTGCATGTTGTGGTATACTACAAACCTTAATTTTTCAGGGATGATCTAAATCTTTAGTGTACACCAATCGTCACAAAACACTCGATGAGGTGAAAATCAATAATCGTAATGTTATTATCAAGATTTAAATGTAGGATAAAGCGAACAATACTTTAAACTCCGGACTCTCCTAATGTTATGATAACAACGGTGACCGCTTTCAACATGTTTTTAAAAGACAATGAAATAAAACTTTAAATAATTAAAATTAAAATGATATCTTTAAAACTTTGTTTTATATTTTTTATTTTAATGAGGCAGTTCCTTTATTTAAATAGAAGTAAATTAGGTAATTATTGTCATTATTTTTAATGTATGAAATACCATTAAGTGTATTCCATAGATCCACTTTACAAAAACCTCTATTATTACTGGTGAAAATAATACGACAATAAGAAACAATGCTTGATAGACACAAAGACCATGTTTATAAGTGACATAAATGAACTTACACAGAAGTTTAATTTTAAAATATTGCCAGGTATATCGTCGTATATTTGTCCCAAATAGTCGTCTGCATTACCAAAAATGTGTTAGCTACTGTAATCGATGTATCTTAAAAAGCTTAAATTGTTGAATGGATTTAAAAATGGCTAATGAACGCAATTGAATAAGCTTATTTGAATGTATTATAATTTGACTAAACTTTGTAATGCTTCTCGACCCATTTTCATAAAAGACACTAACAATGTAATGCATCATACTTCGCTCTCGTACATAATGTAAGTTTATATGCAGTTTCTCCCGACTTGAAGTTTTAATATCTTTATAAGCTAAGAATAGGAAACATTATTTAATTTTAAGTATGTACGTTGTAAGCTGTAAAAGTCTTTAAATTGAAATATCTCGGAAAAAGATTTGCTGAGTAGGTCTCATCGCTAGAATATTTATACTTATCTATAATGAAAAATGCTTAAAAAATCCACGAACTTCAGGTATATCTCGAGGTACCTGAGGTTCGTGGATTTTTTGGTTCGTGGTTCGTGGACTGAAAACCACAACCTCGTTTCTTTCTTTAGCTGGACATTCAAAAATATCTGGCTAACACTACGGACAATAACAAGAAACAAACAAAGTTGTATTGTAGTAGAACCAACCAATGGTTTATATCTTAAGGAGGTTTATTTTATCTTGACTAAGAAACGTATGATCATTGTTCCAGTAACAACGTAAAATGAGAGGTACGTTTATTTTTACCCAACTCCGGCGAAGCGAAAATGATGGTTATGATTTTGGCATATATGTTATAGGTAATTTTCATCTGTTCCCTTATACCTTCGAAACTCTCTTCGTAACCGAACATATAAGTTATCATTGGAAGCGTCTTAGTTGTCCGTGTACTATGCGCTACGTCACACGTTACATAAAATTGACATGAGCGCCCACTAGAGAGCATAAAGTAAGAATCTTAAAAATATATATATATCATTCAATCATTCCATGTTGGTTATTAAATGGAAGGGTTTATTTAGCTCATTTCAAATTCCTTTGCTTAAATACACTCGAAAATTAATTAAACAAAAAATAAGTTCGATAACTAAAATCCGACTAAAGCTAAATCACGCTTTAAAAAACTTTAAATAAGAAATTTATTTTACAGCGATAGCTATATTATAATAGAGATGACCAAAGGACAGCATAGTCGTATGGCCCTGAACATGAGCAAAATAAATTGTTGTAGCATACGTCTACTGTAGTCGGGTTTAAGTCATCATCATCATCATTTCAGCCGAGAGACGCCCACTGCTGGGCATAGGCCTCCCCCAAAGATCTCCAAAACGATCGGTCCTGCGCTTCCCGCATCCAGCGGCTTCCCGCGACCTTCACCAGATCGTCGGGTTTAAGTATTTGAACTTATTTTTTTGTGATACGACACATTAATAATGAAGGACTCGTGAATATGGTTTTTGCTGATAATGCAAAAACTGCTCGTAAAGCATGACATTGATGATGAAGATAATTATAAAACTGGATAATAATGATAAATATTGCGATATTAGAGGCACTTTATATAATTCGAAATTGTTTATACTCAATCTGTTGACTTGCATCGTTCACCATCGTTCAGCGTGTGAAGATGGTTCAGGTTAAAACAAGTGATGGTGTACTGGAGGGTGAAATATTGGAAAATATTTATTATGGAGGAAAATACTACAGTTTTAAGGGAATACCGTATGCTGAGCCACCTGTTGGAGATTTAAGATTCAAGGTTGGTACATATTTTAATATTAATACGTGCGTTACAATAAACACTTAAGTAAACAACACGAACGGAGGAGTTTACATGTAGCAATTAAATTTTATATTAATGGAAAAAGATTGCCATCTGAATAATTTACATATAGTCATAATTCGCTTCCCATAAAAATGTAATGTTATCATCAATAGGCCTTCCCTGTGGATGGAATCAAACAAAATGTAATGTACCACCGCTTACGTCCATTTACAAATACATTGATAGTAAAGACGCGCTTGCTTGATTTCATACATTTTTAATCACAGAAAAAATGCGGTTATTAAAAAGGCCTATTGATCATTTTAGGTTATATCGAAACCTATTTTTGTATATAAGTTTTATATAGTTAAGATTAAAATATATTAAACCTAAATCCTATTTAGAATCATCTTTGCGATTATTTCTCTATCGAGCCCATTATTAAATTTATGTTTTTTTTTTTTGCAAATAAACGAGCATATCTGTAATTTGTATAAAACGATTTTATTTTGGAAAAATAAACATGGCCTTAGAATGCAATTGGTTTTAAAACTTGTGATTTATTTTAAATCACGCCTTAACCCAATATGTTAGCACTAACAAATGCACGACGCCTTAATATATACAGAGCACAGAGGAAATCAAAATACTAATTCTATTACCTGATCGGCCCTTGCGAAACTAACTTAATTTAACTTACTTTGTTGAAAAATTTGTTATGCCACAAATTATGAATATAGTATATACCGTATATACGTAGCATGTAACGTAGGTAAAAAAAAAACGAAAAAGATTTAAAATTATTTATTAAAATAAGAATAAAATAAACTTTATAATAATATTTCTACGACTATTGACTCCGGTCGATGTTAGAAACGAAGTGGTAGTTTTCACAGTCCAGGCGATTGACCTGGCGATGGTCACGTGGCAGCACGTCCGTGCCACGTTACGCTAAGGCGGCACTTCTTCGATGGTGCAATGATTTGGTCTTGGTCTTGCTCTTATGTCTAATTTACGTAATTCACATGAGGAGTTCATTATTATTTTGAATAGAATTGAATTGGAAATATTCAGAATAAATATTGACCACATTTTTGCAACACATGCAATTGTTAAAATTTATCTCAAGTGTATTGATTCTAAATGTATTTATACAAAGTATAAGTCATTTCAACGCTAATGGTAGGGAATACCTCTAAGGTACTTAAGTCCGTTATTTTTCTATTTTATAAACTGGTATAATAAAAAATAACTTAACAAATGTTCCAGGCTCCTATACAGATTAAGCCATGGAGTGGTGTAAAGGATGCCAAAAAGCATGGTCCAATCTGCTATCAACGGGACCCTATTAAAGCACTGGTAGTAGGAAGCGAAGATTGCCTCTACCTCAACGTCTATAGCCCAAATATTAACCCAAACAAGCTGCTGCCCGTTATGGTCTGGATTCACGGTGGAGCCTTCATGTGGGGAGATGGTAATGACTACCTCTATGGACCAGAATTCATCGTGAGGCATGACGTAATTTTAATAACAATAAACTACAGAGTGGGAATGCTAGGTTTCCTCTGTTTAGACACAAAAGATATACCTGGAAACGCTGGTATGAAAGATCAAGTTCTTGCACTTAAATGGGTAAAAAACAATATAACTTATTTTGGAGGTGACAAAGATAACATAACTATATTCGGGGAAAGTGCCGGGGGAGCTAGCGTTTCATTTCACTTGGTATCTCAGATGACTAAAGGTCTTTTTAAAAGAGCCATAGCTCAAAGCGGATGTTCTATAAATAATTGGGCAATAGTTTTTGAGCCGCGCGAGAAAGCTCTGAAGTTTGCACGGGATTTGGACTTGTATTCAGAGGACGAGCATGAACTCTACGAGTTCTTTAAATCATTACCAGCGGAAAAGTTACTAGACTACAACATGTCGATACATTTGGCTAAAAAATCCTACGATATCAATCTTGGAGTAGTGAATGAAAAAGACTTTGGTAATAATGAAAGATTCTTTTACGGTGATATATTTGATATTCTTCGAAATGGTATACACGAAGACGTAGATATAATAACTGGATATACAGAAGATGAGGGCTTATTTATGTTCTTTACGGTGGATATAGATACTGTACACAAGCTATCAAATAATTATTTGGAATTTTTCGTTCCAAATTCAATGACATTCGATCTGCCATTAAGAGAACGACTGAATATTGGAAGGGAAATAAAAAAATATTATTTTGTCAATGGGCCAAGGGCAGAGAATAATTTCGACGGTATATTAAGATTTGTAAGTATGGAAATGTTTCAGCATGATGTAATAACATGGGCCAAATTTTGTGCAAATATGAGAAGAAATAAAATCTACTTTTACAAGTTCACGTGCAAATCAGAAAGAAACCAAAGTGCGAACATGTTCAACTTTGGACATTTAGTTAAAGACAGAGCTCCGGTTCCTCATTTTGATGACGTGATGTATTTATTTCCAATAAAATATATATTTAATGAAGCAAATATCAAATGGGAAGAATTAAAATTAATTAATAATATTACCACGCTCTGGACAAATTTTGCTAAATATGGGTAAGCTAACGATGTATATATTTTATATTATTTACTTTTAATTTTAATATTTGTTTATGATAATTTAAGTGTCAGTGTAAATATTAAGAATAAGAACAAAAAGTAACTTTTTTCTTCGCTTTTTCACTCGAAATTAATAAAACCATACCCTCTAAATATTTAATTTTGAAAATAAAAGGAAATAATTACTGAAGAAATTTTCTCACTACATGAGAAATCTTCCAAATCAATATTTTGGTATCTAAAATTATCTATTCTTTATTTTTCTAGCGACCCAACATACAACAAGAGTGTGGGTGTTAATTGGCTGCCCTACGACACGAAGCAACAAAATTACTTAGACATAGGCAATGAACTTGTTACCAGGTCATTCCCAGACAAAGAGGACGTCGACATGTTGGATAGTATTTATAATAAATATCAACCCAGCCATATTCCACATGAATAAATAAGCAGTTTTATTTGAGGAGTTTTATATTTAAAAGCAAAATAATTAGTGTGTTCGAACCAATTTTGCTAACCAATTGAGAGACTTAGCTGATTTTTAACCACTCATCTTGGAATCTGAGGAATGTATACGATGTCATCTGATATTATATCTAAAGTTTATAAATATAGGTATACGTAATTAATTTAATTTCATACCTTAGAAATTATGTTATAACAACATAATATAAACTTGTAATTAATATTCAATATTGGACAACGTTATAAATTTTAATTAATTATTGTAAATAATTTCACTATTAATGAAAAAGAAAAAATAATAAAGAAGTAGGTATCACGCACGATATGATTTATGTCATTACTATAAAAAATAAAGAATAATTCATAATTAAACTCCTTTTTATATTATACTCGATGTTTTCCCGCGACTTATCGATCGATCGATCGACTTATAATCGACGACGATGAAGGTGCTCCTAGGTGAAAGAATTTTTAAAATCCATCCAAATGTTCCACAGCCTAATCGATGCAAACAAACAAACTATAAAATATAATGTAAGTTTGACTAAGTTTGACTACATTGAACCAGGGATATTGTATAGACATACTCAATACAGTTGCGTTATTTACAAGCGATAACAAGCGACCGTATATTGTATAATAAAATAGGTTACATATAAAGCATGTAACCTATTTTTAAGCATCGTCTTGTGAGTGTTATAGAACTATTGATTATGTTAAAAACATGTTGTGGCTACTACACATACACTAATCCACACCATACCGTTGCCCATTAAGTCCATCAATCTATTTAATGATGCTTTCTATGGTGCTATCAATCCAGTTTAAGCTATAAAATAACATATAATCAAAATAGCATGAAAGAATATCTAAAAAAAAAACCTTAATCGTATAAGCTATGATAAGATTGCGGCGTTTTTAATCATCACGATAATAAAAATGGAAATGAGTGTATTCATGAATTTTTATACAGGAAAGCCTTGGAATTGGACTGAAATACAGAACTTCATTCTAATCAAGGTTTCCATAAATAGCACTAAGTCTAGGTAGGTAGAGAAACGGCTGATAAAATCTTCATGGATTCCAAAGCAAATTATGTTGAACTCGTGATACGCCCCGGCTTCGCTCGGGACTTATTTACATAGTGGTCTCCCATTCGCTATATTTATCCCTACATTATCAACAATGGTTATACTTCAACCCGATCTCCACATAAAACGTCTACTACGATTCGATTGGCTTTCACGATGGTTTCAAGGTATCGCCTTGTCTGACTGAGATCCCAGCTTCGATTGCCACTACTCTGCCGCGTAACCAAGTCCCAGATTTATCCGTTAAAATGAAGTCTTAATTATCCTGTTAGGCTTACAGTGTCAATCTGTTTAGCTATTTACAATAGATAGATAGACAAATAAATCGTATATTAAACCACTACTACCACTACATTATAAGTTATTATAAAATTCTAAATGGGTGTGTAGATAAAATAATACTGAACAGGATTTTGATAGGATTAAATCTAATTATTATATAGTTATTTAGCTCAACATAATTGCTACCACTATTAATAAGCCATCTATCACATTAACACCGATTCTAAACTCAAACAAATGGTGTAACGCTGGTGCGTTACACTACACAGCTTTCGGCGTTGAAACTTTGTTATGCAAAACGCTTTTCCAATATAATAGTCATTCGGTCAAAGTCCATTAGTGCTAGTGTACTTTGACCCCCAGAAAAGTGTTCATATAAATTGTAGTTTAACACGCCATGCATTAGTCACTGAAGAATTATTGCCACCCAAGGTCGCGTCGGTGGTAGACAGCGGATTACACTTTCAACTTTATTACCGCGCTAACGTTGATTGGGTGAAGAGCTAAAAATGGTGCAAATTGAGATCAATGAGGGGATATTGGAGGGTGAACTAGTGGATAACCCATATGGTGGACAATTCTATAGTTTCAAGGGGATACCGTACGCGGAGCCACCTGTTGGAGATTTGAGATTCAAGGTTGGTACAAATTATTTAAAGTTAAATTAAAATATTTACACGACAGGTGACCCAGTCGACAGGTTTTTTTAAAATATTATCCCTAGAGAATAAGCATCATCTATATCAATGTGACTGCATTTTATTAATCATAATTTGAATTAAATATAACCCAAAATTATTAGTAAAAAGACGTAATTATTTTAATATATATATTTTTTTTATTAATACAAATTCAAATTCTAGAATTACTAATAAATCAAAAACTGATAATATACGTTCATTATTAATTTAAAAAGTCTTCATATCAATTATTTTTTTTATGTCCAGTAAAATATTAAAATTTTCTTTATCAACACTTCTGGTGAGTAAATTCTTATTCTTGTTTATGGTACGCAAAAGTGTCTTAATCAAACAGCTTAAAGATTTCTACAACATTAAAATCATTTAATTTTAATTGATTGTTGTTATACAACTGAACTTTTGTTATCTCTAATATACCGATTTAATTCGTACACAAACTGATTTAACCTTGAAGTGCGCTCCTTATTCTAAATTTAGAACTGAGCACGCGTTCTAATGCATGATGTCTAGTGTATTTAATGTTTATTTTGAAAACAATAAATCAATACTAACTAATATTAGAATTTTAATGTTACAATTTGAAGTCCAACTCCAACTAATGCAATGGATTATTTCAAAGGATCGTTTTAATATATACATTAATTTTATTCACATGCGTTACGGATAATATAGCAATTAAAGAGCTAAGCACCAACAATAATAGAAATATAAAAAACTTAAAAAAATAGACGCGACTTCAAACTTTTGAAAAGTAATAAATATTATTGAAGAAATTGTTATTAAAGTTGGGCGTCTATCATATAGTTAATTAAATGATTAGCGATTTAATTCACAATGCAAGAAGAAATCGATTACTTTCATTAAAAAAAACACAAAAAATCCTCTTTTCGGATTTACATATCGGTTTTTAAATGAATTAAAAAACACAATCTTTTGTTTTAAACTGAGATACATGAAATACAATACTTATTAATATCTAAATATTAAGTTGATATATGGTGAAAAGTATTTTGTTTTGATATAAAAGGACAACTACTGATTCGATTTCAATAAAATTTAAATGGGACCACATTGGTTCATTTAGCTGTCGAATAAAAAAACATTTAAATACGGTAAAAAATGGCTGAAATATCGGTGAAAATACATTAAAAAAATGTGTTGTATTTAGATCAGTAGGAAAGGCTTTTTAATTAATTTACCGTTACCCAAAAATTTTAACAAATAAAAAATTAACTAAGGTATAAAACTATCAATAATTCTTTGATAACAAACATTGGTAATCCAACTACATTTTTTTGTTATTGATCATGTAACTCATCTATCCGAGACCAATTCATTTTACACGAGACAAATTCAAGGTAAAACTGGCGTTGATATTATAATAATACATTTGTAAATATAATTATATTGTGGAATCTATCTAATGGCCGATACCTAAATTTCCCTACTAATATCATAAATGCGAAAGTAACTCTCTCTCTATTAAATTGTAAAACTACAAAAGAAGTTTGTTCAAATTAAAGTATCTTTTTAAAATAAAATATACTTTATTTTAGGCACCGCAACCAAAAGAACCATGGAGTGGCGTGCGAGAAGCCAAAGAATTTGGACCTGTCAGCTGTCAACCAGTTAGCATCCGCGATCCGAATAATCCTATACTATTCGAAGGGAGCGAAGACTGTCTTTATCTCAACGTGTACAGTCCAGACATCGACCCGTCAAGCCCATTGCCCGTTATGGTCTGGATTCACGGAGGAGCTTTTGAGTCTGGATCTGGCAATGACTCATTTTACGGACCGGAGTTGCTGATCAGACACGGAGTCATTATAGTCACCATAAATTACAGATTAGGATTACTCGGATTCCTTTCTTTGGACACAGAGGACATACCTGGTAACGCTGCCTTGAAAGATCAGGTACTTGCACTTAGGTGGGTCAAAAAGAATATCGCACGTTTTGGAGGAGACATAGAAAATATAACTATATTTGGAGAAAGTGCCGGAGGTACTAGTGTGGGATTCCACTTGGTCTCACCCATGACTAAAGGTCTTTTCAAAAAAGCCATAGTTCAGAGTTCAAGCACTGCTAACTATTGGGCGGTCGCTTTTGAACCACGCGAGAGAGCTCTAAAGTTAGCGCGACAGCTGGGCTTACATTCTGAAGATGACAAAGAACTCTACGAATTCTTTAAAACATTACCAGTAGAGAAGATGGTTCCTGTAAACATGCCTGTACATTTAGCAAAGAAACCATACGAATTAGACCTTGGTGTGGTAATTGAAAAAGATTTTGGTGAGGAGAGATATTTTTACGGTGATATATACGAAGTTCTTCGAAATGGAATACACGAGGGTGTTGACGTAATAATTGGATATTGTGAAGACGATGGCCTTTATGCATTCAACAGCATAAAACTTGATGAAATGTGCAAACTTGCAAACGATTATATTGAATTTTTAACACCAATCAATGTGGAATACTGTCTTTCTTTAAAAGAGCAGTTCGAAATTGGGAGAGAAATTAAAAAATATTATTTCCCAAACTACGCAATAACTGCAGATAATTGCGGAAGCCTTTTGAAATTTTTAACCACGCAAATGTTTACACACGGAATAGTAACTTCAGCCAAATTTTATTCGAGCACAAACAATAACAAAGTATACTTCTATAAATTTACCTGTAAGACTGAAAGAAACCTAGCATCTGCAATGCTTGGTGTATCAGATGTGGTCCAAGATAGAATTCCTGTATGTCATGGTGATGATTTATTGTATCTATTTCAAATAAAACTCTTGTGCCCTGATAAAATTGATGAGGATTCATCCACATTTAAATTAATCGATAACATTACAAAGATGTGGACTAATTTCGCTAAATACGGGTAAGTTCTGATTAATATAGTCAAACGAGAATATAATACTTTGCAACATTCAATAATTGAAATGTTTCCCCATTATTCAACGTTTCAAAACTCTAAAATTCATTTATTTACAAAATTAAATAGGTACACACCATTAACAATAAATAAAAAGAACTGAAATAAAACAATGTACCCTGATAACCTTGCTCAAAAATTAACTATAGTCATGCAGTCAAACATAATCATAATCATTTTGATTTTTAGGAACCCAACTCCCGATGAAGACTTGGGTGTGCAGTGGTTGCCATTCAACGCTGAAGATCAACATTACTTGGAAATTGGTAATGTGCTTGTGCCTGGGTCCGGTCCGGATAAAGATCAGATCGATTTGTGGGACAGTATTTTCAAGAAGTATTTACCTGATCATATCGTATAATAAATATAATATTTGATCACTAGTTTTAAGCTTAGAGTGATGTGGAGTAGAGTGTGCATTATGTTCCAATATCTGGAAAAAGAAGCAACAAAATAAATTAAACAATGTGAGTCAGTTAAGTAGATTTTGGACACTCGACAGTTCTATTCTGTAATAAAACCAACGTTACTGTCACAGCAAAATAATCCTACTTCAAAAGATAATTAAGATTTTATTTCATTGACTCTATGCTGTAACAGACTGCTGAGGCTTTTACTATAAAACTAGCTGTTTTCTCGTGAATTTGCCCGCGTAAATAATAATCTATGTCAGAACCTATTCAATGCAAACAAACTGTCAAATCTTTCCTCTTTATAGTATTAGTATCAAGTGCACAGGTCGTTTTGCATCCAAAGAGATACTGAGAGATAAGGTAAGTGTTCTCGTGTTATCATAATTAAATAAATTATTCGTTATGCGGACATTTGCCTTTTATGCACTTTTCCTACATGCAAAGTTTAATAATAATGTGTTATATCTGTTAATATCACATATTGATACTTGTAAAATAAAGTTATATACACTTATTCCTGTTTTTATTTTAATACTCATATTATTTGATGTATTTGGAGGTTTAAAGAAATTGATAAGTCGAATTTTAACGATATCTCTTTGGTATATACTTTTTGTTTAAAATAAATATTCTAGTTATTTTTAGTGTTGCCATATTTTGTAGGTAATCAAGCTCTCATTAAGAAAATCTTGGAAAAATAATTAGACAGAATAGTAATTAGGAAGATTTTAGAGATAATTAAATTTACAAGACGGCTAGGCAAATAAAATCTACCTTTGACTTAAAAAATAAATATACAAGTTATTCTTAATTATTGTAAATGTAATTAATTAATCTTATTCGTACAGTAAATATAAGCCTGTTAATTTTACAAATTAACATTTATTGAGGGGACAGATTATATAAGAATAAGGTCCAAATATAGGCTGACCTTCTCTTATCCAGGGCCGCGGAGGTGCTTCCGCCAAGAATGCGCCAGCGAGCTCATCAACATCGTGCTACCTTTTTTATTCAAAGTATATCGTATCTTACTCGGTGATAATGTATCTTCATTTTAGTTAATATTGGCTTCTTGTAGGATTTTCAGGTTTTTTAAACAGGAAAAAGTATATTTACACTGTTTGATACAAAATAGAAAATGCGAATGGCCCAATCTACACAAAGCCATTCCTTTTTATAGGCAACATCAACTATCTTCAATCACTTATTCGAAGCAAAAACAATAGGCTAGTTGACAACTTTTTTTTTATTTCATAAATGAATAGTCCATTAACATCTGAGAAATAATGTCGAAGTAACAGCATGTCTGCGATTAATAGTTTCGGAGATACGGTGCTGGGTTTGTAGAACTGCTGCTAGTTGGCCGAAAACGCTACCTACAAATTCAAGGCACTCAGTGACGTCACACGGTGCTACAGTAGCGAAAAATGTATGGGCGTCTGGATAATTTTTCTAATATCTTTGTTATTTGTGCGTTTATGTTTATAGCTGTTATAATGAAAGTTGTAACATTTTTTATATTTAATTTAATGTCTTATGTATTTTAGCAAATTTTTTAAAGTAGATTTTCTCTACTTTTTTCAAGTTTCAAAGCGTAATATTCTCCAAATCAGTGACTTAAATTTGTTTTGTTAAACATTTATATGTTAAAATGGTTAATATTTTTCGAAGATATAACAAAAGCCTGTATTTTCACTTGTAGGATACAATCCTAATAGGATTTGTCATTTAACATTTATTTTTCTAATTAGTTTATGAATGTTTGTGCATTTATAAATTATACCGTAACCAATAAACATTATTTACAATATTTATATGTATGACATACTTTGAAACATACATTTATATTGAACTCTAATATTTAGAAATATTTTTTTTTATCAGTTCACTAGTTTATTTTATCATAACAAACAATAATTGAAATCTCTCCTGTTTATAATATTATTGTTTAAATCTTCTGCATTCTAACAATCGTTGCATAGAGACAAAGACTATGGGAAATTTTGAAATGAACATCCAACATAACACTGCGCATTCATCATATCGACGCTGGAAAACAAACACGTAGTAACCTGCAAAACCAAAATGGATATTTATAATGGAAAATCTTTAGATTTTTCCAAAAAAATATGTCTTATTTCTGTATAAATTGACTAAGAAACATCTTATTTGTTACCATGGACGTTTATAGGAATTATTTATCGAAAAAAATCAAAGTTTTTCTGCTTTGAAGATCAATTTTGGTTTTGCGGGTTACTACGTGTTTGCTTTCCAGCGTCGATATGAATAATATGCTAATGCAATCTACATCAACAAAAACGTCACAGCAGAATCTCATATAAGAGCACCATGGCAATAAGCTATAAAGGTGGCGAGCATAATCGTAAAGCACTACTTAATCCTGCGGCAACGTCCGTAATCCAATCGTAAAATGACATTAACTCTTTAAGACACACACGTGTGTCAAAACAACATATTGTTTTTATACCCACACTTATAATATTTAGTAGATTAAATAAATAACAGACAACTTCAAATGAATCTCTCCGATCTTTAGTAAACTCATTTAAAACCTTTGTATTATAAATACAGAAGAAGGTATCACTAAAACTGAGATGGTACAGATAAGTTCATTTTTATATTGACTCATTCAGAAGTGAACTTTTGACCTCACAAAGTTTATCGTCGTCGTGTGTGTCATGTCAAAAGTCAACATAATATTCAATCAAGAAACTTACTAAGTTATATTCTTAATGAAAAATGTTTAAAAAGTCAGTCCTGTTATACATTCACACACACACACTAACACACACACACACATACAAAATATTATGAATTATTTGTCTTTATCTGTGCTAAAATTTTATTTTCATTTACAATGAAGACACTAAATGGAGGAGCGGTGATTTCCCAATATAGGTTTATTATAAACTTACCGGGAGTCTCATCACAATATCATAAGCAAATCATTTTTGTTAATGAAATAAAATATTTTTCATTTTTTTTTCATCGTTAGGTCTTCGGTAGCTTAGAGGTAAAGATTCAAGTGCCATCTCAGAGTGCGAGGGACAAAGTGGATTTTTAAACATTTTTCTTTAAGAATATTATTCAGTACAGTATTGTTAACGCAAAATTGACCAAATATAATTATTACTGTATTATAGTTTATGATCGTGTAATATAGTATATGTGAAAAAATGAATGACTTACAATTCACAAACCTTTACCTTTCCAAGTAGATTTTATTTTAACGAACCTCTATGCTATGACAGTGCTGCTTTCGACGAACATTTCGAGTCTATATAATGAAAACTCAGAATAGATAAAAATGACTAAGTGATTGATCATACAGCTAAAACTACTGGACACATCGAGCACAAATTTTAGTTATTTTGACGAACAGGTTTGCTAAAAAGGAATTTGGATTATGCAACATACTATAATCTCACCAAAAGTTCGCTTTAACGATGTTTTGAGTTTTTACGGTCGATTGTAAAAAGTCATTAGGTACTTTTACGATCACACCTTCATAGCTTTTTTCATTATGTTACTGAAGTAATTTAAAGGCCCATTTTAATAAAATTAAGGTAGCAAGCTTAGTAGCACAGGTGGTTTCTGCCCCTTTAACGGTGCTTGGTACTCTCGGCTTTTACCTTTTAATGGCACAGTACATCATAGAAGTCCCGTACTTATCCCTGACTCCTGAGCTGAGAATATAAAGGCTGTATTCAATTACGTTCTATAGTAATACATAAGATTTTGTATACTAATCGTTGCTTTTGCATACATATACAGAGAACAAAATAAAATTAGCTTAGAAACAAGTTCATAGTTAGATTATGTAATTATTCAGCAATTCGATACTTAGGCCATTATTAATCTTTGGATCTTCATAAGGAAATTAAGCAACTTTCGCAATGACTAAAAAATAAAATGTTGATTTATGCCAATGCTTATACCGTTATCTGATGCGATGTATAAAAGTTTACTTTTTCTTAACTTTTTAAATAGCCAAAAACTTTTTAGACTTGAAATAGGCAAAATCAGATCATCCAGGTGGTCAGTTCTACTATTTTACAATGATCGATCATCAATAGCGTTTCTATAAACGTTCCGTTTCTATTCAATAAAAATATAGTAGAATCGGGCCCCAGAGTTATGTTGTAAGGCGACTCAGTAATTCCCGATTCCGTAAGTTTAAGATTAATGTAAAACTAATTAATGTAAAGCTAAACCATAACACGTTAGTTTACTTTTGCCGAGTCATATAACATTGTAGCAAAATACAAACTCACTCACGACCAGACCTAAATAATATTGAATGATAGTAGAAAAACAAAGTAAAGGAAACATATTAAAACATTATCATATTCGGCTATACTCTTTCCTTGTGTTATGTCATTTATAAAAACGCTTACAATGCGTTCTGAGACGTGATCAACTTCAAATTCTCAATTCAGAAACCGAGTGTTAGCAAAGGTTCACCTAGTACAAGGTTCTACGGGAGTACTATTTATTCCTAGAAGGTTTGCTTATTGTCTGTATAATATGAATTTGGACTAACACTGAAATCATTTGCGTAAATTGACTCTGACGCTAAACCTTGTTTATTAATAGCACTGATTGTGATTAATCAATAAAATTAACGATTTTAAGACACATCACATTTTTTAAAAGAAATAATTGAAATTTTATTACAAAAATAAACTGCTTCATTATGTCGCTGATATCGACAAAATGTTGGAAAATCTTTAAATAAAACTCACAGGTTTATCATTAAAAATGTCCAGACTACATTACAGAAATACTATTGTATAATCCCATAGTGGAACAGAAAGAAAAGTTGGTTCCCTACTTATTTCTATTTAGATCAATAGCAAAAGGTTTATAGTTTTGCATAAACCACATCTATAAATAAAACAGACAGGACAGAAGTCCGTGTCCACAAAACTTTCAATAAATGTCGGCACCAGAAACTCTGTAAAGTATTTCGCCGTTGGTCTAGAGATCTCCTTGCGGACTCCGGATTCTTCGCGT